TTAAGGCGCGTATGTCTTCGTCGATATAATCCTCAATATATTACCGCCGGTAGTGTTCGGCACGACTAAAGCCTATCCAATAATTGTCAAACAACTTCCCACGAGAACTGTTCTCAGTTTTTTGCCACAACTTTCTATGTACTCATTCATTGTGTTTCAAATGATACTGTATTTAGGAATTAGACGATTAACTATTTCTCAAATCTGGTAATTATATGCAGTCTTTAATGCTTTAAATTTTGTATTGATTTTATATCTCTATTATTGAAGGTATGAAGAGTTTGTGTTTGAATTGTCGCGAACGCATACGTCTAGGGCATCGCACATATCACTGGCCATATTCTCAGTAAACATGATCTCTTATGTCATCGCAGCCATCATTTTCAGTCCCGGACCCCCATATCGGACAGATATTTTCTCCAACAGTAAGTTTAACCGCAATTCAACACAAACAAGAATTGCTGATAATATCATAAGCTAATCAATTAGTTAATATTATCCTTAAACATATTAAACAATACACACTTAACATTGTATTCCATTGGATTAATATAGGATAACATGACTTTAGTATTCTGCTAAAGTATAATCATAGGCATCAGTTGTGATCACTGATCACGTTATTTTACATAATATTCCCATTTTTAAACCGCCTCAAAAGCTAATTCTCATTTGCTTCGCCTGAATTGTGTTTCCCCCATAGCTTTGCTGCACAATCCGTTTCTATCTTCCCCACAACTCTTAGCTAATATCGATTGTCAAACAAAATATGAAAACCATATTTATATAATTAATATGTTATTAATTATTGTATAGAATGGTATTTATTAGTGGTTTTGATAAACTTTGCATTAGTCGCGAGCGTTATCTTATTTCCGCCACAAATTGTATTGACTTTCTTAAACGTAAGACAATTCTATCATTTAATAAATATTATAAGAAATAAATATAATATTTATTTAATTGTATTCATAGTTCAGAGATATTCCGTTTCATTTCAAACTAATATTATTCACGATTTCAATCGCAAACTTCATATTCTGTTACGTATGGGAAGTGGTTATACTTCAGGGAATTGTCTTTAACTGGTTTTTGCCTAAAATGCGCTCAATTAGAGCACCAATACATCCGTACGAAAAGATTG